ACATTGTTTCATATAGTTTTTTTATTAATTAAGCACATGATACTGAGCTATTACGATATATCAATAGGTATACCGCATTTAACTTTTATAAATAATTAAAATTAACAAATTGTTATAACTTATCCAATCATTTCTGTGTATACCTGTATTTATATATTATGTATATAAATATTAATAGTAATAATAATGTCTACATCAATACTACCTACAGTGGACATATTGCTTAAACTATATTTTCATAAATCATGGCATCTACTATTATTAGTCAGACTATGTATTTACCTGATGCTGTAATGTATAAATGTCAACGGGTGTTGACCTTAAATAATGTATAGATAACAGATAAATGACAAAGTCGGCAAGTCGCTCTGCTGTTTATTTCGTAGGTAATAGGTTTCGACTGATCACTTAGCTGTGACGCCAAAAGAAACACAAAATTTTAATTTTAACTCTTTAGGCTTGACAATTTAACACAATATTTTCATAAATTGTAGTTATTAGCCATTAGGTTATTATAGTCTATAGAAATAAAAATATTAAGTAAATTTAAAAAAAAAAAGCCAACGGCACGCAGTGTTCCCAAGCGGTCACCCATCCAAGTACTAACTACGCCCGACGTTGCTTAACTTCAGTGATCGGACGAGAACTGGTGTATTCAACGTGGTATGGTCGTTGGCGGAGAGTCGTGCTCATCAATATGTACCTATCTATAGATTTCATACTCACAAAAACTATAATATTATTAAGAAAATCAAATTACGTTTAAGTAATTAAGTACCTATTAGAAATATCCGTAAAAGAATTAAACGTGTGATTAAACAGCCACAGGCTACTCTCAAGTCTTATCCGTTAATAGAGTGATATGTTCCGTGTAAATGATATCTATACATAGGTATCTATTGTAAGTACGTGTTTTTTTTGATTTTTTGGAAAATAAATGGTACAATATGCATACCAAATATTTTGAAGTTTGAACCTCGAGTCACGACCATGACATTAAATATTTTATAGCTGGTGAAGTTACACACATGTAAGTACCCATCATATAAATAAATGAAAAATATATTTGTACTTGACATACCTAGGTACTCCATTAAAATTTGAGCGTCGGATAAATAGGAACCAATTTACAATAATTCTGATTTCATACAACATCATAAAATCGTCTCGTTAAATAAATAGATAAATTATTTGTATATAATTTTATAGGTACTTTAATGATTAAAAGATATCTATATATACTAGCCAAGGTTTCACTGAGCGACTACTCTACAAAATAGTACCTATACAATATTGGTACCTATAGGAAATTTACTTCTCACACGATTCATTGTATACTTACCCACTTATAAATTATACTTGCCGATACTCATTTGCGCCTCTACTAAATGCCAATATCATTCATGCATATCCAATGCCATAGATAAATCTAATTTAGTTAACTAGGTAACAAAATTCCTCAATAAATGTAATCTATAAAAGTTTAATGTCTGTTAATTTACTTTCATTAATAAATACCTGATACAAATAAATATTGCTCATTTAATTATGTTGTTATCTACATCAAATAGTAAGTCAAATTAAATATTTTATGCATTGATTATACATACTTATTATAATTTTAAAAAATTATTTTGAACTGATTTAATCCTATCAACCAAAAATTTACAAAAGAGGTAAACAACTATTAAGGTTCAAAGAAATAGAAATAAATTTAATAAATAACTGGGGATAAATTGTCCAAAATAAACTCTTTTAACTCAGTTTATATATCTATAAAATATAAACATGATTGAATACTTCTGACTTTGTTTATCATTAATATTGGATTTAGTTATATTATTTTTCAGGAATTAAAATGTTTTTAAAAAGTTGAGTTTAAATTCAAAATATTAAACAAAAACCCCATCTTTCTTTTAAAATTATTTCTATTACTGAGTTGTAAAAAGAAGCTCATAAAAATAATCATTACCAAATACTTGATATTTGTTTTTATATTTTTGGATACTTCTTATCTATACATTAAATATAAAACCTTGCACAAATTATTTTTAAAATAATAAATATATAAAAATAATTCATAAAATTTATTAAAAAAAATGTTTATTTCACATTTTGATTTCAATTACAATATAATTCACTATTAATTACCTTATTTGATTATACAAAGAGTACTTTTGTAGAACATTAATATTACATAATATATTTCAAGTTTACATTTTAATAAACATCTAAAAATGAATAGATTTACAAAATAATACATAAATAAATTAACAAATAAATAAACTAATAGAAATACATTTTTTTAGAATTAGGAATATTTTGTATGAGAAATACGTATACATAATATACAGTAATCTCAGACTAAAAACCTCAGCATTATACCAATATGTGAATATTAATTTATTCTACCTATTAAATGGCATTTTATACTAAAAATCACAAACCAATTATTATTTATTGAACAAGGATGCTGGATTCTAAAAAGTAGTAATATTGTAGATCAGTAGCGTAGTTATGATTTTGTTCTGTAATTTCATAATTTTATAATATCGAGTATAAATCAACATAATAAACATTAAAAAAAAAAAAGATTCTGAGGAGGGGAGGATCTATCACCATATCTCCGCCACTGTTGTAGATCAAAGATACCAAACTATGCATAAAATAAATGGTCAAAAGTATTTTTTTGAGTTGCAACACAAAAGAGAAAAAAAAATAAAGATGATTGCGATTAATATAGTATTTTATTTTAAATGTTCAACATTTATTTTTATATGTAAAAGATATTGTACAAAATGGCACAATAATCATATGTGAAGAAAGTAGAATTAGTTTAAGTAATAACACTAAGCCTGAAGGGTTAAACATTTAATTTTGGTTTTCTATTTATAATTATTATTTAATTTGTTGTTTGATACAATTAAATTACTTATAAATTATAATACATACAATTATAAATAAATAAATATCAAACATTAAAATATTATTTTTTTGTGTTTTTTATAATTTGAGAGCCATCAAAATGTTGTAAAGAGATAACAGACTATGGGATGAAAAAGTTTGAATACCTCTATTATAGATAATATCATCTTACCTAATATTATTTTCATTTTATATTATATTATATTCTTATATTAAAGACCGGTTAGGTTTGTTTTGTAGGGTTGGGACACGTGTATGTGTTGTGTTTGCGCCATCGATTTGTTGCTAAGAATCTGGGTGGTCATTCATCTGAGAGCTAGCGACACCGGCTGATGCTTGATCTCAGAACATATTAGTGATTGAGAACAACTACTGCACCATACTAGGCACTTGGCTTCTGTTTATTAAGTAATATAGGTTAGTAATATTTAAGACTTAAGTCTTAAAAGATGAATTGTTGTTCTTAAGTATATGTGGTTCACATTCAAAACAAAAATGTATTTCTCTTAGATATAAATTGATGCATGGTAACGATAATAAGTAACTAAGGGCTCACAACATGAAAATTGATTAATAGTGCCAATTAAAAATAAATTAGATCCTAAATATTAAAATAAGATTTATGAGTTACATAATTCCAATACAAATACAATATTGTTTTGTTTTCATTTTTATTAATTTTATAATCTATATTATTCTATTCGTTATTAATATAAATACGTTCTTAGAGTAATTCCTTGATAAATTTCAGTAACAACTAATAATTTCATTTGGTTTGTTGTCTTTGGGTCATCATATCATAAATGGTGGACACATCGACTATCACATATTGGTATAATATACATGCTTCAAATATTAAAACATTATACAAACATACATAATATTTCTATCGGGGGCGTGCCTAACATTTTTTTTTCGGGAGAGAGGAGTTTAATATTTTTACCAACACGCATTTCAAATTAATTTCAAATGTATTCAAATATTAAGCAATACTTTTTAATAAATGCGTTAAAATTTTGGATGGGGTGGGGGGTAAACACCCAAACTCCACTCTTAGGCACGCCCCTAATTATTATACAAAAATATATAAATATTGATATGTAATTACTACAAAGAATACAAAGAAAAAAAGAAAAGAAAAGAAAAATAATAGAATAATAGTACAAAACAGATTTTAAAAGAAGTTTATAAAACAGATAATTCTTTTAAAGTTAATTCATAAAACTTTAAAACTAAAACATTTAACATAACATTAATAAGTACAATTCAAAATAAAAATCTACATTTAAATATAACACTCTAACAATAGGAAGTAAAATTGGGTTGAATTAAGTAACTAGTATAATTATAAAAACAAAGAATAAAACAAGGAGAAACTACAATTTTTAAGATAATATGAAATTAGTAGATTTAACTAAAAATATATATAATAAATTAATTAATCAATAAAGTTCTCTTCAATGGCAACTTGGCTAAAATGATTATTTCTAACTATAAGCTAATTAAATTATCTAGTTTCTATATATCAGTCTTTTAGTTTTACTATATGAAATAAATAATTTAAATGAAACATTAAATCAGAAAACCTAACATACCTAAATAGTAAATATTAATATTTAATTCACAATAGCAATTACCTATACAAATATATTAAGCAATGTATTATATTCTATAAAATAAAACAATAAATAATTGAAAAAATGATCTACTTACATTAAACTATATAAAAAGTTAAGTAACAATAATTAATTACAATGAAATTTTACAATTTTGAATTAAAATATTCTTATTTATATCTAAAATATATACTCTTGGTTACATTTAATGAATCAATAGTAAACTTATAGTCCCTTAAACCTGGCAATAGAGTTTTAAATACAAAATTGGTAACAAACAGCTTACCAACATTGTATTTTTATTGACTTTAGAAGTTAATTATGTACACTATACTTAAACTTTATTAAAATCATTTATAGTTCCTTAATCTAATTTAGAATTTGGTACATGAAACTTTAAATTAGGTAAATAAAATTTCTAATGTATAAAAATAGGGTTTCTTAAATATCAAAAATATATTTATAAGTTAAAATAATATCGTAATAGGGATCATTTAAATGTTTATTACGGCTACTCCCGAATACAACTCATTACATTTAACTAACAACCGTAAAACTGGATTAAGATTGTAAGGAGTTAAATTATTTTTAATGAGCTGGTCAAGACTTGTTTGTAAGTTCATCAATGTAGCCATTGTACTTTGCAATTTTGTATCACAACAAAGACAAAACTCTGACCACCTATTGCATATGAATTTCAACATTCGCATGATGTACAATAGAAAACTAGTGTCACTACCCAACAATAAATCTAATATCAATTCGTTTAAATCATTATTATAAGACAATGTTTGTAAGAATTCAACTAAACTAGCAGTGGGATTTAGCACTTGACGCAGCATTGGTAAAGAGTTACGACGATAACATAATACCAGAGAGATATCAAGGGTACAAACCATACTCTCAATGAGAACGTCGTTGCGATCAGAAAATAACTGTACAATCCACTGTGCAATTGGAGTTTCAGGTAGATAAGACATACATTTCTTAACACATGCGTCAAGTTTCCGTAAAACTTCATTGACACTGCTTTCAATTATTGCCATCTCAGCATCTATTTCTTCAGAATCTTCTGATTCATCAGATGAAGAATCACTGGATGATGATTCATTTTTTGTTTCCTTGATGATTGTAGCCACTGCTTTTAAAATTAGTAAAACTGTATCTTGTAATAATTTTTTATCTCCTTCATCTTCTTCTCCTCCTCCAAATTCTCCAGGACCTTTTCGGAACGGCATGTTATTCAACATATTTTTGGTTTTGACAACCTTAACCAATTCTCTAGCCAACATACAAGGTTCTTCTTGCATGGTACCTTGTACAGCCAATGTGGTAGTGTAACATAAACTTTCATTGAAAAGATTTATAATATTCTTCCAAACTACCGGTTGGACCTTTGGCCGCCTCAAAAGAATAAGCATTTGTCCTAAATCTGCATAAAAGTATTTGATATTCATAACATTCAGATTAGTTTTAATAGAAACCATCGAAGTCCATAACTTGATAAATTCTATAATGGCAATATGACCCATTTTATGATTGAATTGTTCATTACTAAGATCTGTACAGTGGTCAAAAGATGACATATACCTAATAAATTTTAATACAATCATTTGCCATTGAGTTTGCAAGACTTCAATAACTTTAGTTTTAACTAGGCTTATTCCAAATTCATCATCCATCTCAATTTCATCATCTTCAAAAATAACTTTTCTGCTAACACAATTTTCGGGAATCTTGATATTTTTTTCATTTTCATTCATTTGTGAATCTCTCCAACACAACACACGTTTAAAAACTGCTATAACAGGACATAAAGTTTCAGGAGATCGACGAAGAAATAACTCTGTTAACTCTTCTATCCATACATTGTCTATTTTATTTTGCGAACACACAAATATTTCTGCTAAAGCATTACTTGCTGCGTATGATATGTAAGGGTCTGTTCGTGTAAGTAAAGATACAACTTCGTTAACAATACCTGTTTTATTAGAAATTAAGTAATTGCTTAACCGTTCAACACTAGTGCATATAGTGCCTTCTGATTGTTGTTTGAGGGCGATGTCACAAGTTAATCGAGCTGAACTCAAAAAATTTAAAAGTCGATCTTTACTCCAACTACTGACATTTGAGACCCTAAAAACTTCTTTTAGCATGCATGTCTCGGGTAATTGACATAGACAATGCTTTGTCAAGTTTAAACTAATTGTATCAACGTTTAAATCTACTAAACGATATTCACTGTCATTAATTTTCTGCTTCTTAGCAAGTGGCAATGTTTTGTTCATAGTTTCTTGTTCTTCCATACTCCAAAAAACAGCTCAAAAATCTATAACAAAAAAAATAATTCAATAAAATTAATATTTATTAAATTTTTAAAAATATTATATTATGTTATTAAATTTTAACAATAACAATAATAATAATCTTATATTATCAATATTTGTGAAAAAATGTAATTAACATAACTACCTACGTATTTCAATTTCAATTATTCATATATTAAATTTAAAGGTATCTAAATAGAATATAGATTCAATAGTAAGTACTTAAGAGTAATTTTATTTCTTGATAAATATATACACACATAGAAACAATTCAATGTGAAGTATATTTTATAAACGCTCATCAATCATTTTTGTATACTTATTAATTATTATTAGCTAAATAACACGAGAGTATGAAAACGTGAAAACAACTTCAATATTTTAAATTCATATAAATGAATTACCGATATTTCAATGTTAACCAACATAAACAGTTATTGTTCACTAGCATAATAAAGAAATTATAAATAAAAAAAACAAATATCAAAAAAATATTTGTTTTTTTATTAATATAATGCTATACAATTTCAATATATTCATAAAATATTTTTGGATCCATGAGTCTACTGCATATTTGTTTATTGAATTTAAATAAGAGTAAACTTATATCTTAATAGCAATTTTGTTAAAAAAACAATACATTTTAGGAAAAAAATAGTTATAACTGCTGTTAAAATAGTATTAAAATTAAAATCTAAAATATTATCAAGATAATAGCTAATTCAGAGTACACAAGTCAATGAATGATTTTAGCACATACAGGGTATTTGTATATTTAATATGAGTAATAATATAAAGAAATTTGCATACAAAATCTTGAATAGGCATACCCTTTAAAAACATAAATATATATAATATGGCCCACGGTGCAATCACAATTTGTTTTTTTTATAATTAAAAATAAGCTGTTAAGTATTTAATTTATTTGGTAAATTAGTATGATAATTCTATGGAATCCTACTGACATAATAAAATTATATTTTATACTAAGTACCTAGGTATAAAATTAATGTATAAAAGGTATTTGTACTCTAGGTCTACACATTATGTTTAAAAACAACATATATATAATTATAAAAATAGCACTTGATATAATTATAACCAAAAGCTAAATTGGTTTTGAAAATAAACATTTCAAACAATCACATTTTATATCATTATAAGATAATTTTAAATGTATGGATAGTACTTAATTTTGGTCAAATAGGTTAATTTCTAAATACATTTTTGAATTTTTTTCTTTAAGAAATGTGTAGTATAAGCTCTGGTTTGAGTTGTAATATATATATATATATATATATATATAATGTATATTTAATTTAAAATATGTGGTATTAAAAGTAAATAACTAAGCTATACATAATACAACTTAATAATATAATATTTCATCATGTTATAATTTTTATACTTAACATTAAAAATTGTATAAAATATTAAATAAATAATATCAATTGTATATCAATAAAAAATAATTCTGGTCCAATTATAATAAGTACACTTGAAATTTAAATTTTATGAATTAAAGCGGTTTTCAAATCGCTTTATAATTTATCGAAGAATTAAAATTAGATACCTATTTAGTATTTGGTCACTTTTGAGATGTAAAATGAAAATATCTTCATTACAAACCACAGGATTTAGAAACATTACAGTTTTATCATTGATAAAATAATAGACTATACTATCTACTAGACTGGTAATTTCTATTCATATTACCTATTATAAATAAGAAAATTATCATATTAATAATGACACATCTAATTAAATTATTCTACCTACTAATTTTTAGAATTGAGAATTAGAAGCCAAACCTATGCTTAGATTTTAAAAACTAACAAAATAAAATTATTTTTAATTTATAAACATTATGTTAGTAACAGTGAGAAAAAAAAATGAATACATATAACAAAATGTAGGCACCTGCCTAAGTGAAAGTTAAATGTATAGGACTCATTCAAATGAGAAATCATTTCAAGTGTCAATTTATAAACAAATCAATATTTAAAGAACATAACATTTTAAAGTTATTAGGTAGATATCTATAAAATGTTTTGTGGTGATATTTTATATTGTACTTAGCCTGTATTTCTGCCAATATATAAGCATAAAATGCATAAAAATAAAACTACATCAACTAACACCTAATCTACATTTAAATGCTATGTCAGTAACCATAAATTATTATTAAGTATCAATACTTACCTACTCTTTTAATGGAAAAAATGTATAAATAAGTAAGTATTACAGTGTTTCATAGTTGATAAATAGTATAGGTAAGCATTACTAAGCATATTATAATTAGGAAAATTTAAATTTAATAAATAAAAACCTAGCTAATTAAAGATATTTGCAAAAAATTTATCAAACAAAAAATGTCAGAGTAAAATTTATAATTTTTGAATCACTCATAGCTAGGATTGGGATTTTTTTTTTAACCCGCGAGATATATAACTTTTTGAAATGTAATATTGTAAAAAAATCGAAATATTGACGTCTTACTTTATTTAAAAGCAAGATTCGGGACACTAAAAAAAAAAATTTTAAATTGTTTAGGTACCTTTAATAAAGTAAAATAATCAAAATTGTTTTATTAGATGTTACAAATATTTTGCTCCAAGTGGCTGTAAAAAAAAAATCGGGACTTTTTTGTCCCGCTAGCTTGTAAGACAGGGATATGGGACAAAAATTTAAAAAACATACGCGTCTCGCTAAGAATTGAAGCGGGACGCGGAACAATTCAATAAAAAATCGGGAATATTTCGCCAAGTCGGGTCGTATTTTAACGCTATTCATAGCATTACATACCTAATTAATAAAACAATATAATCTGATAAAGATACCTCCTAAACGTTTATTTAGCTTTTAAAAGTTTTTAAAATTGTTTTAAACATCAAAAACTTTATAAGATTCTAATTTTAGAATGTCGGGGCTGTAGAATCGAGTGGTGCTCTAATTAAAGCTCAAACTCTGACAGCCAAAAACTAGAGCCACTCTCCGAGCTTTTCCAAATGATCAGTATTCAATAGTACACTGTGATCCCCCTCCTAGTTCGTGATAAACTGAACGATGGAAAGTTAAGGACGAGTAGAGAAATATTATAATCATTGGCAATGCTCAATCAATGTGTTAGTGCCAAAACGGATAAAAAAATAAATAAATAAAATAAAAAAAAGTGGGCAGATGGGTAGGTATCAACAAGTTGCATGACGGTAATGGGGGCGGTCGAACGAAATGACGTGAAAAAGAATAGGGGAGAGAGCTTAGGGCCAAGGGAGAGGGGCGGCGGCGGAGAGGAGCGACAGCGAGCGTAAAGCTCTCTCGGCGCGGACGAGCCGAAAGTTCGAAACGGATCGTCCGCACGCCACCTGCGGATTGCAGCCGTGGCCATATTGTACGCTGCCGGTGTTACGCCGTACGAATACCGGTCCGGCGCAACGCCATTGCCGCGTCGTACGAGCCATGAAAAGTAATCTGGTGTACTTCGTTCAGTTACGTATTGCTGTATGCCCATTAGTAGTGCGGCATAATATACGAGTTTACGTCATTGTAATTTATTATTTTAATACACATAAACGGTTACACGGCGATCGGATACACCACTTGCGGTCTACGGTATCCGGACAGCACACGCTTTTTGAACGAGACGCTGGAGAGAACCGACGCGGTCGTCGTCCACGTTGGCAGTTTGTCGAAATCGGCTAACCGCCGTCGACGGGGTCGTGTGCGGCGGCGGCGGTCGGTTGTCATCGAGCGGAAGCGAGCAACGGCCAACGCAGCGTCATCGTCGTCCGCCCGGTATGCCTGCGCGCTCTCGGTCGGGCTAAAATATATATTATTATTATTGACCTGTAGTGTATTACATTATTATCATCGACAATACCATGTGTCTGCCGCCGCCGCCGTCAGACCACGGCGATTGGCAACACGGCTCGCGCGCCGCAGGGCGACACGGTTTGATGCTGCGGCGTTATATTGGTACAATATCTATCAGCCGTAATACTTATTATACGCTACGTTCGCGATAATAATAGTAATAATAATAATGATATAATATTCTCAGCGTGGCGCTGTTTGCGCGCGCGCGCGTGTGTTGTTCGTGTGCGCGTGTGCGCGTGTGTTGCGCGTGTTTGCGTGTGCGTATGCGTGTATCATGCCAATGAGCCGAGCGGCCGCTTCCCCACCGCTCGCCTCCGACCGTCGCACCGCGCGACCGCCCGCCGACGAAGGCCTTCAATTATTCCCTAAGCTCGCGCCGCCGCGCCGCACCCGATTACCGCCGCCGCCACGGGCGCGCCACCGTCGTCGGTACGCCGCGCGTCTCGACCACTCTCGGCCAATCCATCCGTCGGTCGCGCGCCAGTCACGAACAACGACGGCAATCGTCGACGTCGCACGTCGCACGTCGCCGCCGCTTCACGCTCGTTTCTGCGTACATCGCTCGCGAACGGTTGAATAACAATCTTCCGGTATCACACATCGTTATCGCGTCGTCCGACGACCCGGTGATAAATACCAGAGACATAACGCGCGTGCGCGCAACTCGCCCGCCCAGTTCGACGCGCCGCGATGTGTCGCGGCGAGGGGCCTGTCCGGACGATAGCCGTGCATGCGACCGTCCGTGCGTGCGACGACGGCCGCCGCGAGCTGCCACGGCCGCGTGTGCTTCACGCGACCGAGACGCCGTTCCGTTGGCCCGCCGCCGCCGCCGCCGAAGAGGACGACGACGACGACACGGGCGGAAAGCGCGACCATCCATGTGCCGCCTCCACCACGGACGATTTCGTGACGACGGCAACTGGGTGAGTGCTGGAGGCGCAGGTTCGTGCAATTT